AAACACACACACACACACACACACACACACACACAGCTATGTTCTGATAAGTATGTCTTGATCTGGAAATTAACACTGAAACTCGTAGCTTTGAATCTTGTTACTATATTTTAAAATAAAAAAATACTGTAAGGTGGGTTTGGCTCCTTGTGAGTTATGCAACTTGCTATGGTTTTGAGCTCAGTCAACTTTTTCTTCTGAGAGACAGCTGTTTACATTTTCTTCAGAGAGTGAGTAATGAATATACTGAAGGAACAAAGCAGATAGAATGCAGAAAACAAATGTGGGGTTTAGATTTTACACATGCCTCTATGTTTTGATTGGGGAGTGCTTCTAAGATCTCTTCAGAGCTTGAAAGCATGCAAAGTGTTCTGGAGATTGAGACAAGAATTTTGTTCCCCTCTCTCTGCCAACAGTGAGCCCACACAGTGCACCATGCTGTACTCCCGCCAGGGCACCACAGAGACCATTGAAGAAGTAGAGGCTGAGCAAGAAGAGGAGGTGGTGGGCCCAGTGCCTGAGCTTGAGGACACAGATGATGAATATGAGGCCGAGGATGAGGTGGGAGTCGAGGAGGTCAACCTCACCCCTGACATCGAGTTGCCGCAGTATTCTACCATGGATGGGGATGTGGAGGTGCCACCCTCCTACAGCAAGGCTGTCAGTTTTGAGCGCCTCTCCTTTGGCTCCCAGGAGGACTCCATAGGCAAGAACCACATGGTAGTCAGCCCTGATGACAGCCGTACGGACAGACTGGAGTCAAGCATCTTACCTCCCTTGACACATGAGCTGACAGCCAGTGAGCTGCTTCTGAACAAGTAAGAGGCCAATGCACAACCAAACTCACTGCCATTGAGTCAATTCTGACTCATAGTGACCCTATAGGACAAAGTAGAGCTACCCCACAGATTTTCCAAGGCTGTAAATCTTCATGGAAGCACACTGCCTCATCTTTCTCCCACAGAGCAGCTGGGGGGTTCAAACGACCAACCTTTCATTTAGCAGCTGAATGCTTTAACCACTAAACCACTAAAGCTCCTTAGTAAGAGCCCAGAAAGCAGAAAAGACTGTTGACATTGCGTTAACTCCAACTCATGTCATCCCCATGTGTTTCAGAGTAGAACTGCACTCCTAGGGTCTTCAGTGGCTAAATTTTTCTGAAATAGATCACCAGGTCTTTGTTCCCGGGTGCCTGTGGGTGAACTCGAACCTCTGACCTTTTGGTTAGCAGTTAAGCACACTAACCATCTGGCCCACTCAGGAACTCCTCAGTAACCAGAGCAATACTGTATCTAGAAATAATCATTTAAAAGTGAACTGAGTTTTATGTAAGGAAAAATTCATGCCAAAGAACAGCTTAACTAGACATTTAGAGCAGATAGATACAAGCAAGATTCAGTACTTCTGTAACTGCATGATAGAACTAGAAAAAGCTCCAATAACTCATGCTGAGATGTCTTTCCCTAATAAAGTTTGGTATTAGAAAGATCTGGAGCCATAGGTTGTCTCCAGGAGAAATATAAGGAGCATAGAACATGTAGGAGTGGGTTCAGCAGAACGAATCATGCAAAATGAAATAAGTAATTTGGAGAAATTAAAGACAATTGTTTTATCATGTGGTTTATTTTAACAGGATGTTTCATGATGATGAACTGGAAGAGTCAGAAAAGTTCTATATTGGCCAGCCACGATTCTTGCTGCTCTTTTATGCCATGTACAATACTCTAGTGGCCCGCTCAGAAATGGTGTGCTACTTTGTGATCATCCTCAATCACATGGTCTCTGCCTCCATGATCACCCTCGTGCTCCCCATCTTGATTTTCCTTTGGGCCATGCTGTCTGTCCCTAGGCCCAGCAGACGGTTCTGGATGATGGCCATTGTCTACACAGAGGTATGAGGTGATGGAGCCCTCTGCCCATTATTCAGGCAGCTGACCTCGAGGAAGCCCACAGCTTTGTCAGTGAATGTTTTTGCTCCAGTGGCCTGCCCTGATTCCTGGGAAGGTCCACAGAGAACAACTAGTTGTATGGATATTCTTAGAAATACAAATGATTATAACTAGCCATTATTTAGTGCTGGCAATTTCATACATCATTTCACATTTAATCTTGCACAGGATAGGTGCTAATGTCTTTCCCATTTCATAGATAAGGAAACAGCTTTACTGAGATTATATCATTGGTTACAGATGCTCAACTGGGGAGTGATGAAATAGGCTATTGAATTGTGGTTGACAGACCTATAACATTAACCACCAAAATAACAACACTCCCATTCAGACTCAAGCATAGTGCCTGGCACCAGTGAGAATTCAGGGAATGTACACAGAATTAAACAGTGTGGTACAATACAGTAAAGCACTTTAAATACAGTTTGATGAAACATATATATTTTCCATTTTAAAACTTATAAACCAGTTTCCACTCATCAAATTATATATGAGCTCTCATTTGAAATGTGAATGACTGAAAGGGAAAATTGCCAACCAAATGGCAATCATCACATGCCAAATGTTGCAGACTTTCCTTCTCTTCTGCCTTATTAAAGAGGGAGAAGATCACACATTCCCTGGGGGAAAAATAAAAAACTTCAGCACTAGAAATAAAAATGAGACTTAGTAGGCTTTGCATTGTACCATCATTCTTTGCATAAACTCTTTGTAGGTTGATGAGACAAGACTAATTTTCATATCTGACTTGTAAAGAAAAGTTTTCATTTATAATGACAGTGTAATCAGTTCTTAAAAGAAGTTACTCTTAAAAGATGTACAATTAGAGCCTAGAAATTTTATCATTTTACAAGTGATTAAATAGTAAAAATTAAAATATATATAGAATCATTTCAAAGGTACTCAGTTTAAAATACTGATACCATGTATGTCCATAATGAAAACCAGAGATGTAAAGTGAACTACTTATCAATTGCTTTGACTGGCCTGCCTGTCACAGTCTTGCCAAAATAATCTTTCTTAAAAACCACTTTCATTACATCATTTCCTGATCTCAAACATAAAATGACTCCTTATTTACTGAGTGATGATACTGTAACACCTCTGTGTGACTGAGTCTATCAGATCCCCTTTGTTATCTAGGAGAGAAGTAAAAGGAGGTACTGGCAATGTGGAAAAGAGTAAAAGATCTACTCAGATAGTTTCACCTTAACAGTAAAATATTCCTAGTTAAATTAACCTGGGGTACTCAGTCTTCTCTGTTATGTTGAGGAATGAATTAAATGATATTAATTCACTCTGTAGTTGGACTATGTGCCAAAAATCAAGAACTATGCTAGGTAGGAGAATACAAAGATAATTTAAAAAGTAAAAGAAAAAAAAATGTTCTTTTTTTCACAGACTCCTATGGCAAACAAGTATGATGTAAACAAATACTTGTCCTTCAGAGTGGTACAGACCTGCATGAAAAATTTGCACTGGAGTAAAATGTATTCTGTACTTCATTTGGCCTAGGGAGTGGAGGAGATAGGTTACCATGATGACTTCTCATGGAATAGAACTTAGAACCAAGTCTTGAGGGATGAGTATAACCTTCTAGGAGACAAAAAGCAAAGAAAGCTCCAGTCACTGGAAATAACCTTTGCAAAAAATCAAGAAAGCAAGTATAATTCATGACATATGCCATGAATTAGGTGGCTTATTGTGGCAGATGGTGAGTGGAGCACCATAGAGGAACTGGGAGATATAGTCAGGAATTAGACCAAGAACTTTATTGATGAAGAGTTTGGACAGGGCCATGACTTGGTCAAGTTTATGTAATATGAAGTTTATATATAAAATGGATTAAAAGTTCATGAACACGGAGGCATGGAGACAGTTAGGAAATGACTTTACTTGTTTGAGTAATAACTAAAACTAATAGGGTCTGAAGTGCAGCAATGGTGACTGTGTTGAAGATGAGTAGATGGATAACAGGAGTTTCAGTTATTGACTAGAACTAGTCAGGGTGTGGAGGAAGAGGGGAGAGGCTAGGGTGATGGTCTAGTTTTCTTCAGATGCCATTCACCAAATAAGGAACACAGGAGAAAGAGCAACTTGGGAAGACAAGGAAATAGAGACGTCAAGTATAGCCTGTTCTTTGAAGAGACTTTACAATGCAAAGAAAAGAGAAAGAGAGGACAAGAGTTAAAAGGAGTATCTAGATCAAGAAAGGAAGTTTTAAAATGCATTTTTATTGGCGGATTGCATATATTGCAATTAATTCCTTTTGGTGTAGATATTAGGAATATGATTAAATGAAATCTACAAATTTACTCAGTGGTCAGCATACCCTTTTCTACACCATTATACCTAGAAGTCATGGCCAGCACAATGAGAAAATTTTTGTTTCACACATTTGCTTTTGAGGAGAAGAATTTCCAGGCATCAAACATGTGAGAAAAAGGAGGAAACTGGAAATTATATACATTAAAACTCTGCTGTATGCTCATAAATGTTACAAATTAAAGCAGCACATAAAACATAAATATATAAACATATATGTTTCTCTTCAAGTTTGTCATAACTACCAGATTTTTAAAGATGAATACTTATGTAAATATCCAACTAAATCAATGCAAATTAGTCAACTCCTCTAAAATAAAAGAAACGAACCATCCTTTAAAGCAGTGGTGTGTGTAACCTCTTAGGAGAGTATGATACTGCTTTTGTTATAAAGCAAACAGTCGGTGGGAGGATAATAATATGATTCCACAACTGTGTGTGCATTCTCCCCTTCAAAAATATGAAATGGCAGTTTTTTACATTTTTTTTCATATTTCTGTTTCTAATATATAAATACTCCTAAAACAAGAAATCATTTTATTTCTAACATTTGCGTTTAGGTGGCAATTGTGGTCAAATATTTCTTCCAATTTGGATTCTTTCCCTGGAACAAGAACTTGGAACTGAACAAAGACAAACCTTACCACCCACCAAATATCATAGGAGTGGAAAAGAAGGAAGGCTACGTCCTTTATGACCTCATTCAGCTCCTGGCTCTGTTCTTCCATCGATCTATTTTGAAGGTACTGAATATTAGTGGTTGACCAGTAAATATTTATATTAAGAGAAGGCTCATTGATGTTCCTATTGAACCTGAACATTAGGATTGGTCATGGGAAAGAAAGTTGTGCTCAAGTGGACACTTTTGCCAACACTTTGGTGCCCAATAATGGACCTTGATGAATCTAGGAGAAAATGTAACCATGTTTTTACTCTGGGATGAAAATGTCATAATTAATCCACATTTGTGGAGAATTACCTAAATAGTGTGCAGTATCTTAATACATAATAACACTGAATTCTCCCCCTAGTTTAAGCCCAATACCAGAGAACTACAGTTTGGGGAGAATCAACTTGCTTCTCATCTCCAACTCAACTTCTGCCTACATTCTTCTAGTAGAATTGCTTGTATTATTGGGTACTTACTTATACAAAACCATTACTTTTGATGAGAGATCACATATTGAATGATACTAGGAAGTCCAGGACTGTGCTTTTTGTATGTGTATTTTTTTTTTTCCTCTTATTTTCCCAGTTACCATCCCCAACCTTAACCCATTCTCCTCTTCTCCCTTCCCAGTAACCCGCCCCCCCCTCTTGCTCTTCATTCTTGTGCACTCCTATGTGTCCTGCATCTCCTCCATGTGAATGTTGCCCCTCTGGTGCCCCGTGGTCAATTGCTTCAAGGGATGTATCTCTGTAGAGTATGTGGGTGCATCAGCCTGGGTTGAGAGATCAGCATGTACGTCTTATTTATTGAGCTGAGAGCCAGCCCTTAGGAGTGAGTTTTATTCCAGGCCCAGAGTGTATCCCAGGGCCATGGTATTGGGGGTCCCACCAGACTCCATCTGGCCAGTAATTCTGGTAATTATAGTGTTTTCGGATTTTGTTCCACATTTTTCCTCCCACTCTATCCAGGATCTACAGTTTCGATCCTTTCCCAAGTGGTTGGCATTGGTAGCCAGGCACCATCTAGTTCTTCTGGTCTTGAGGTCCATCATGTCCTAGGACTGACTGTTTCCAAGTGCCCTTGCTTTTTTGCACTCTTCATCACTTCTGACGATAGGAGACCATTAGCTCTGTCTTAGATGGCCGCTTGAAAGCTTTTAAGACCCCGTTTGCTACTCACAATGTAGGTTGTGAAACAAGATTTTTTTCTGTATTTTGATGTGCTAATTGAGTCTAATGTCCCCCAATACTATGGTCCTGAGGTCAGGAGATCCGTTGGATCTCTCTCCTCCAGTGTCTGGCTGTCTGTGAGGGATTGCTCTCTGTCTGTCTTCTGTTGTTTCTGTAAGGATTGCAGATATTTTGTATCACTGGTATCTGTGCAAGATTAATCTCAGCGGAATCTATCCTTGGTCTAGAGTATAATCCTGTTCACTGATGCCCATCTGATCTTCTCAGATGTTTATGTGTTTATCTGTAGCCTGGTGTTTCGTGTTAGTGGTAATGCAGTATTGTGGATATACTGGTATTAGCCTCTGTCATCTATATCTTATGTGCACAATTTGGTGTCCTTCCTTTCCCCAATGTTATCATGCTGGTCACAGACTCTTCTATATTTGTATATGTAGTTTTGAGGAGCCATTCATAATACTGAGCTATGACGACGATTATAGGGGAAGAGCCCTTTCTCAGGTCCAGTAAATGTTGTTCTTCTCCTGACCAACTATATGATTTTTCCCCCTCACACGTGATGAATTACAATACAAGCTAAGTCTGTAAATATGCCACTTAACTCTAAAAAATAAAAATTTGTGAATAGGATACATATATGTATTAATTTTCCTATTGGTACAATTCTACTTTCTTTTATTTCAAATTATCTCTTTTTATAAAATATTTTATATTCATTCGGGCTGATTATATGAAAAATGCATTCAAGAATAACAAATCTTTTTATAAGAAGAAAAATCTACCCTATAGTTTTTGAAAAGTTAAACCTTTTAAAGTACTTCTATGAAAGCTAAACACCCATGTTCATTGCAGCACTATTCACAATAGCAAAAAGATGGGTACAACCTAAATACCCATCAACAGATGAATGTGCAAACAAATTGTAATACATTCATGCAATGGAATCTTATGCAAAGATGAAGAATAATGGTGAATCCACAAAACTTCTCACAACATGGATGAAAACAGAAGATATTGTGCTTAGTGAAATAAGTCAATCACAAAAGGACAAATATTATATGAGACCATGCTATGAAAACTCAAAAATAGGTTACACACAGAAAAACATTTTTGATGGTTACCAGGGATGAGAGGGAAGAGAGGCAGCATCACTAACTAAACCGTAAAAAAACAAACACTGCCATCGAGTTGATTCTGACTCACAGTGACCCCCTTTGGGTTTCCAAGGCAGTAAATATTTACAGAAGTGGATTGCCCAGTCTTCCTTCTGTGGACTGGCTTGTGGATTTGAGCCACCAACCTTCTGGTTAGCAGTCAAATGCCTTAAATATGTGTTAATTCTGGTGAAGGGAAAGGCAATACACAATATAGGGGAAGTCAGCACAATGTGACCAAGGCAGAGGAAGACACTGAGAAGTATTCAAGAATAAAGGACAACTATGGTTAATACTATAACATACAATCTTGCAACAAAAGCAATAACAAATGATAATAGGGACAAAGGTGGGGGTCCTAATTTATGGCATAAATAGACTAGCTTTTTCCTTATTTTTCCTTCTATGAACCTCATAGTTTTAGGTTTAAGACTTAGATCTTCAATTCATTTTAGTTAGTTTCTGTGTATTATCTGAGGTATTTAGGTTTAATATTTAGGTCTTCAATTCATGTTGAGTTAGTTTTTGTGTATGGTGTGAGATATTTAGGTTTAAGATTTAGGTATTCAAGTCATTTTGAGTTAATTTTTGAGTATGGTGTGAGATGTGTGTCCTGTTTCATTTTTCTGCAAATAGATACCAGTTTTGCCAGCATCATTTGTTACAGAGACTATCTCTTCCTCATTTAATAGATTTCAACACTTTGTCTAAGATCAGATGTTCATAATTGGGTGGATTTATTTCTGGATTCTCAATTCTGTTCAAGTGGTCTGTGTGTCAGTCATTGTACCAACTGTTTTGACTATCTTGGCTGTGTAGTAGGTTCTAAGGTTGGGAAGTGTGAGGCCTCCTACTTTGTTCTTTTTTTTTTTCAATAATGCTTTAGCTATCAGGGGCCTCTTTTTCATATAAAGTTTGAGATTAGTTTTTCCATTTCATTAAACAATGTTGTTGGAATTTGGATCAAGATTGCATTATATCTGTAGATCACTTTGGGAAGTACTGACATTTTCAAAATGCTAAGTCTTTCTATCCATGAGCATGGTGTGTTTTTCCATTTCTATGTAGGTTTCTTTTGGTTTCTTATGATAGTGTTTTGTAGTTTTCTCTGTATCAGTCTTTTACATCCCTAGTTAAATTTATTCCTAGGTATTTAATCCTGAGCATATTATCTAACGTATTTCCTTTTCAGAGTTCTCTTTGTTGATGCAGAGGAATCCAGCTGATTTTTGTGTGTTAATCTTGTACTCTGCTACTTTGCAGAAAGGCTTCCATTAGTGTCAGTAACTTTCTTGTGGAGTGTCTGGAATTTTTTAAGGGTAGGATAATGTATCTGTGAATAGCGATAGTTTTGCTTCTTTCTTATGAATTTGGAGGCTCTATTTCTCTTTCTTGCCTTACTGCTCTAGCTAGGACATCCAGTACAATATAAAATAAGAGTGGTGATAAAGGGCATCATTGTCTTGTTCCCATTCTCAAGGAGAATGCGTTCAGCCTCTCACCATTGGCTGTTGGTTTTTTATGTATGGTCTTAATTATGTGGAGGAATTTCCTTCTATTTCTGTTTTGTTGAGAGGTTTTATTGGGAAATGGTGTTGGATTTTATCAAATGCCTTTTCTGCATCAATTGATATGATTATGTGATTCTTTTCCTTTGTTTTAATAATGTGGTGGATTACATTGATTGATTTTCTAATGTTGAACCATCCTTACATCCCTGGTATAAATCACACCTGATCATGATGTATTATTATAGGTACATTTTTTTTTTTTTTTTGTATTCTCTTGAATGCTAATTGGCTAGAATGTTGAGAATTTTTGTGTCTATATTCATGAGGTATATTAGTCTATAATTTTCTTTTTTAACAATGTATTTAATTTACTATGGTATCAGAGTTATGTGGGCTTCATAGAATGTTCTGGAATAATCTTAGTAGAATTAGTGTCAACTCATCTCTGAATGTTTGGCAGAATTCTGCAGTGAAGCCATCTGGGCCAGGGCTTTCTTTTGTTGGGTTTTTGTTTTATTTTTAATGGTCTCTTCAATTTCTTCTTTTGTTATGAGTCTGTTCAAATTTTCTACCTCTAATTGTGTTAGTTTGGATAGGTAGTATTGTTTCTAGAAGCTTGACCATTTCTTCTAAGCTTTTAAATTTGTTAGCATACAATTTTTCATAATATTCTGTTATTATCTTTTGTGTGTGTGTGTGTGTGTGTGTGTCTTATTTGGTTTTGTTATAATATTCCTATTACAAAATATGTGGGCATCATTTGCTGCTCTTTTTTTATATGGTCAAATTGTAGGGTTAAGATATTGATTTTGGTCTTCTTGTTTTTTAATTTGTGCATTTATTGCTATAAATTGTCCTCTGAGCACTGCTTTTGTGGTTTTCTAAAGTTTTTGATATGTTGTGTTTTCATTCTCATTTGATTCTAAGAATTTGATTTCATTTTTAATTTCTCCTATTACCCTATTGTTTTTAAGCAAGATGTTATTCAGTTTCCATATGTTTGTTGGGTTTCTTTTTGCCCTTGTTCTTCCTGTTGTTGATTTCTAGTCTTGTAGGATTTTGGTCAGAGGATGCATTGTATTATTCCAATGTTTTTTGAATTTACTGAGGCTTGCTTTGTGGCCTGAAATATGATCTGTTCTGGAGACTGATCCATATGTGTTGGAAAAGAATGTGTACTGGGCTACTGTTGGATGTAATATTCTGTGTATATCTATGAGGTGAAACTGGTGGATTGAATTATTTAGATCTTCCGTATCTTTGTTAAGTTTCTTTCTAGTTGTTCTGTTCTTCGTTGAAAGTGGTGTGTTAGTCTCCTACTGTTATTGTGGAGCTATCTATTTCTCTTTCCAATACTGTCAGAGGTTTTGTTTGTTTGTTTGTTTTGTAAATGTATTTTGGAGCTCTGTCATCACTGGGTACATAAATGTTAATTATGGTTATGTCTTCTTCTTTAATTGATCCTTTAATTATTATATAATACCTTTCTTTGTCTCTTGTGATGGGTTTTGATTCACATCCAATTAGATGTAAGATTTCAATTGTCCAATTAAATGTAAGATTTCAATTGTCCAATTAAATGTAAGATTTCAATTGTCCAGTTAGATGTTAGAGATTAGTACTCTGCTCTATTATTATTATTATTTTCTTGATATATCTTTTCTATCCTTTGGTTTTTAATCTATTTATGTCTTTATGTCTAAGGTGTGTTTCTTTCAGGCAACATATTGACAGGTCATGTTTTTGTATCCATTCTGCCACTCTCTGTCTCTTGACTGGTGTGTTTAAACTATTTACATGCAGTATGATTATTGGTAGGTGTGAATTTACTATTGTCATTTTGTTATTCTTTTTTGTAGTATTGACAGTTTCTTTGCTTAATTTTCTATGCTGAGTTATTTATATTTCTGGATTTTTTTTTCATTTCCTTCATTTTTGATATAGTGTTTACTGAGTCTCTACAATTTTCTTATTTATTTTGGTGAGTAAGTTTATTGATTTTCTTTGTGGTTGCTCTGACATTTACATTTATTTTCCTAGGTTTAAAACAGTCTTGATATTGCCTTAATTTCCTCTCTGTTTGGAAGTTCTATGACTACACCATTTATTTCCTCCTTTTGTTTTGAAATTGTCATAATTTACAAATTGACATCTCTGGTTCCATTTTCAGTGTTGTGGCTTTAGTTTACTTTTGAAATTTCTTCATCTGGATTGCTATCTGGGTGATTCTGTTGTGATTTTTTAATCTCAGGCTTTATCTGCATGATGCTGTCATGGGTCTTGATCTCAGGTTGTTTGATGATGTTGGTTCTCCGTCTGAAGATCTACCTTTAATATTTCTTGTACTTTTGGTCTGGGTTTTACAAATTCCTTTAGTTTCTGTTTATCTAGAAATAGCCTAATTTTACCTTTGTATTTGAGAGACAGTTTTGCTGGATATATGATTCTTGTTTGGCAATTCTTCTCTTTCAGAGTTTTATATATGCCATTCCATTTTCTCCTTATCTGCATGGTTTCTACCAAGAAATCAGAGCTTAGAGTTATTGGCACCCCTTTTTCTCCCAAGCTGCTCTATGAATTCTTTCTTTGTCTTTAGTCTCGGAAAGTTTAATTTTGATATGTCTTGGTGACTTTCTCTTGGAGTCTATATTGGACTCCTTTGGAGTTTTTTGCATTCTTGGGTAGAAACCTCATTTTTCATTATATTAGGGATGTTTTCTGCCAGAAAATCTTCAAAAATTTTCTCTGAGCTTTTTTTCATCTCCTCCTGTTCTAGAATTCCAATTACACATAGATCATGCCTCTTGAAAGTGTTAACTCTTAAGCTTTCTTCAGTTTTCTTCATTCTTGTTTATGATTGTTCATCAAACAAATTAGTATCAAGAGATTTGTCCTCTTATTTCACTAATTCTATCTTCTGTTGATTCAGTTCTACTTATATGCCCTTCCATTCTTCTACTGATTCAGTTATACTTATATGTCTTCCCATTGAGTTATCTATTTCTGAAGTTTCATTGTTAATCTTCTGGGTTTCTAGTTGCTACTTTCTTATTATTTCTAATTGCTTAATTTGTCATTTTATTCTTGTACTCTTTTCCTGAATTCTTCTAGAATTTTGTCTATGTTTTCCTTGGTTTTGTTTGTGTTTGCTTAATCTCTTTGAAGATCCTATATATAAGTCTTTTGAATTCCTTATCAGGTAGTTCCCATACCATTTCTTCCTCAGGAAGGTTTTCTGCCCCTTTATTTTGGTCACTTGCTTCAGCCATCTTACCTTGCTTCTTTATATGATTTTGTATTGTCTGCTGTCTCTAATGCCTTGAAGTATTTATTTATTTATTGCTTGTACATTTGTTTGCTTTATCCTGTTTTTTGTTTTGTTTTGCTGTATTTGGGCAGGCTAGGCAGGTAGTCCCCTACTCTGGCAGTTTGGGAGTTTTCACCACCTGTCTCTGAGTGGCCAGTGTCATAGTTGTCAATGTACCATGGAGTCCTTCTGGGTTGATGCTCACGATTAGTGAACCTGCTCAAGATCAGGGTAGAATGTCTCCATAACCACCATTAGGGTATGCTTTCCAAATGGATAGACTAGATAGACTTTCCATGCATGCCCAAGTTAACAATTCAGTAGACAGTGAGGATCAAGGGGTTTCAGTGCATGAGCAGTCAGCCTGCTGGCAATGTCTGTGTGTGGGATATGTGACATTGAAGCAGGGCAAATGCTGGATGAAGGCACTAGGAACTCCTGTTTATTATTAAACAGAGATGCAGGTGGCCCCTATGGGAATGTATCAGGTGTTGCTTCTGAAATGATGTGCCTGGCAGTCCAATTACCAGGCATAAGTTCAAGGTGCACTTTCCCCAATTACCAGATTATGACACTGTGGGTGCACTTTGCCAGTTGCTAGTTGGTTGGAATGAGGACATCTGTTTCCTTGGTCTCTGTATAGGCTGCATGGAAGCTCACACAGACTGTTACTGGGTGAGAGGGAATGGGGAAGGTGAGTTGCACCTCCATTTGCCAAGGTGGTGGCACAGAACATGTGCCATTAGTCAAGGTGGGAGTTGGGTAGTGAGATAGGGTAGGTGAGATGAGGATGCACCTTGAGTTGCTGGTTGGTGGTACAGCAGCACTTCACAGATTGCAGCATGTGCAATGCCGATCCCTGGTCTGGTGGCACAGGAGTATGTGTCACTGGTCATTGGGGCAGTGGGGTGATGGTGGGCAAGAAAGTGCCTTACCAATCAATGAGGCAGTAGTAGGATGGGGCACATGATGTACTAGCCACAACGGTGCAAGCCACCAATGGCCAGGGGAATAGAGTGGCATGGAGCAGTGGTGGGGTGGGCTGGGTTTGAGAAGTCACACTGCAGACTACTGGGTGGGGCAAGGCTGGCACGGAGGCAGGGGGACACCACTGGTTACCAAGTAGGTGGGAATGAGAGGAGTCTACAACTCTGGTCACTGGGAGCATGGGGGAGAGGGAAGAAAGCATAATCTTCTGGTCACTGGTCTCCAGCATGGGTCTCAGTGTACTCTTTAGAGAATGCAGCTGGCAGTCAGGTCCCTACTCCAACCCAGTGCAGGGATAGAGGGGTGGCTGTCCAGATTCCATTTTCTCAAGCCCCCACTCCACAAACCCTCCCTTCCTTGTGGGTCTTCAACCCAAATGACCAGGGACCATGGCTGGTGAGTGGTTCTATCCCTATTTTCTGATTCCCTTCTTGTTCTGTGGTCTCCAGGATCCCTAGAGCTCTCGACTGCTTTCCTGCCTTTTTGTGCCTTAAATCTTTGTGTTCTGCTCACTTTGCTTCTCTCTGGATTTGTCTACAATGTCTCTCTGTCTCCTACTGAGGATTCTACAAAGTTGCCTTCCTGCATTCCTCACCCAGGAGTGCTGATTGCTTTATCTCAAGATGGTCATGCTGCTCCAGGCTGACTGGCAGGGTATCCATGATCCTTTTGTCTCCTTATTCATAATTTTCATCCAGTTTCTCCTTCCATTCAGTATTTGATCTAATTCTTCATCCTTCCATTTGCTGCTCAGGGTTCCAGTGTTGTCATCTGTTTCAGTTCACTTGGTTTCTCATGTCTCTGGTGTACAGGAATGGCATGTTGTGAATTGCTCTACCTCCCTAGTATTTTTTAAGTGAGTCTTTATAGCTTGTTTCTGATTTTACACTGGGTGATTCAAGGATTCATGTCTTTTTATGAGGGCTGGAGCAGAGAGAAGCATCATTATTCAGGAAAAGATACTTGATGAGCATGGGGTGGTGGAGCTAAATTTGTTAACTGATACTTCCAATTGAAACTTAAAATGCTAGTCTCCAAGACATCATATAGACAGATGTGTTATAGAAAGCATTGTCGCTCAAGAAGCAAGGCAAGTGATTTTCATTTCATCTTGGCTCCACTGGCCAAACATTATCAGTCTCCATCTCAATTAATTAGCCACATTCTTGTCACCTACAAACAACTCATTGCACTCAACTAATGCATAGTAAAGCTCTAGAATCTTAGAAAAATCGGTTCTACCATCTTGAGGTGTAGTCTGTTTGATTAGCTATTTCAGGTTAGGAACTATAGCCTAAATTGCCACTTTCTGTGCTTTCTCAGTGTCATGGCTTATGGGATGAAGATGATATCATTGAGAGTGGCACTGATAAGGATGAGTCAGAAGATGAACTCTCACTGAGTCATGGCAGAAGGGACTCCTCTGACTCCCTGAAGTCCATCAACCTGGCAGCCTCAGTGGAATCAGTGCATGTACACTTCCCAGAGCAGCAGACTGCCATCCAGAGGAAGAACTCCAGCTGCAGCTCTCAGGCATCCCAGAGGTCCAGCTTTTCCTCAAACAAGTCCAAAAGAGGTATCTTTCATAGTTTATTCATAAGAGGGAACACCTCCCAAAATTGCCTTTGTTACTGGTGCCAGTGGGTTGTGGCAGGGAGTTTGTTGGGGGTGCTAGCAGAAGATAGATCCTGTAGTGTGAAAGAAAGTGCTTGTGAATCAGGAATACCCATGTCCAGTCCTAGCATGGCTGTGTGAGCAAGGCAGTCACCCCATTGATCAGTGTCCAATTCTGTTCCAGTGTTAGGGCTTCAGCCACTTGTGGAAAGTAGCAGTGTACCACCTCGTACCTAGGGCATGAAAGTTTTGAAATCACACCCAGAGATTTTGCTGGGTGTGCCCAGAATACTGCTGTTGACTGTGTAGTTTGAAAATGTGCTTAGATTTAATCAGTGGGAACTTTCTGATAAAATAACTAGTTATTTCCTAAGCTAGTTATTAATTTTGTATTAAATAGTGAGTATGATCGACAGGTCAATATGCACTACAGACAGCCACTGTTTGATAAATGTGGCTTTCTCACTTGTGGTCCTGACAGCTGAAGCTTTCAAACACATGAGTGGTGTATAATCATCCTCAAAACCCCAATGAGGAAGAAACTGCCAGATCATGCCATGTTCATTTTGCAATGAGAGAAGTTAGAACATAGAGAGAGACACAGAGCACAAGCCCCATCTGGGCATACCACACATCTGTTTTATTGTGGAAGCAGAGTAAGGACCACAGAGTCCAAATTGCTCAGCATCACTCTTAAGAGCACCTCTGTGTTCACACCATCCTAAAACAGTTTCACATACTCCATATGCCATGTGGCTCCAGGTGGTTTTCTCATGTTTATGCTAACACACCCTGTTCCTCACAGAACATCTTGGTTTCTTTCTATTTCTAGGCAGCACAAGTACCCGAAACAGCAGTCAAAAAGGAAGCAGTGTTTTGAGCATTAAGCAAAAAAGCAAAAGGGAACTCTATATGGAAAAGCTTCAGGAACATTTAATAAAAGCAAAAGCATTTACCATAAAAAAGTGAGTAAATGAAAATATTTGAGTTGTAAGTTTTATTTTATGGCAGAACTTGTATCAATTAATTCACATAAGCTAGAGGTCAAGAATAGAGAAGTGACTCCTCATGTCCTAAATTCCATATCATCCTCTTAAAGCAGAATAAAATGACCCATTATTGTAATGCTTTTAAAATAATTTTTTCAATAACTGTGATTAATTTTTATATCCATTGCATTGGTGAAAATACTTTTATGATTTAAACAGAATGGAGAAGTAATTCGAAGGGCTGGCAGTATGTATTCCCGGGCATTGTCAAAGTAAAGTCCAAGCAGAAAAAAAAAAAAAAAAAAAGTTGCTTTCTTATCCACTCTGACACATGGTAACACATGTGTGTCAGAATAGAACTGTGTTCCATGGGATTTTCAATGCCGAGTTTTCAGAAGTAGATCACCAGGCCTTTCCTCTGAAGATCCTCTGGATGGACTAGAACCTCCAAAATTCCAGTTAGCAACTGACCCATGTTAATGATTTGTACTACGCAGGGACTCTGTCAAACAGCCAGTACCCAGCAAAATGTCCAGGCACACAGAAAGGCAGAAGCCATGATCTAGAATGGAAGAGGCATGGCAGGACTAGGACCAAGCCATGAGTGGGCCAGATACTGCCACATGCTTGAGGGGGATCCCAGATGGTGATCCTGAGACCAGGTATGCTGTCATACTCCAGTACAGACTTGAATTGTCAGCAGAAAAGAGAGTATGAAGGAGAGAGAGCAGATATGGGTAGACAGGCCAGGGCCAAGAGGACGTGGTACTAAAGGATAGAGCAAGGTGCTGGCACATGAACAGTAAGAGAGGAGGGACCTAACATTTGTGTTGAGGCTGGCCCTCTGAGTCCAGGCATCTTCTCAAGTAATTCTCATTCTAGCCCTGTGAGTCAAATGTTATCCTTGCTCATTTTATAGAAGAGGAAACTGAAACACAGAGCTAAGCACCATGCTCAAAATCTCACAGATGGTAATTGAATATTGTTACAAACCTAGACATTGAGTTTATGGGGCTTTATATGACTATATTATGCTTCAAGGAGATAAGAGATTTGTGGCACCGTGGCTAAAAACAGCCTTGGTAACTACCTTGACATGAAGACAATGGTGGTTCAGTAGTAGAATTCTTGCCTTCCATGCCAGGAGACTTGGGTTTAATTCCTGGCCAATATACCTCATGCAGCATCACAATAAATGGAGAGAAGATTGAGGTTGTCAAAGAATTCACGTTGCTTGGTTCTACAATCGATGCCAATGGAAGCAGCAGTCAGGACAGTAGACGACGTGTAGCATTGGGAAAGTCAACTGTGAAGGAACATATCAAGTGCTGAGGAGCAAGGATATCTCCTTGAGGACTAAGGTGTGCCTGACACAAGCCTTGATATTTCCAGTCACCTCGTATGCATGTGAGAGCTGGACAATGAATAAGGAAGACCGAAGAAGAGTTGATGCTTTTGAGTTGTGGTGTTGGCGGAGAATGCTGAAAGTGCCTTGGATTGCTAAAAGAATTAACAGATCTGTCCTGGAGGAAGTGCAGCCAGAATGCTCCTTGGAAGCAAGAATGGCCAGACTTTGTCTCACCTATTTTGGTCATGTTGTAAGAAGGGACCATTCCTTGGAGAAGGATGTCATGCTTGGTAGGGTGAAGGGTCGATGAAAGAGAGGGAGGCCTTCAACGAGATGGATTGACACGATGGCTGCGATGATGGGCTCAAGTATAGCAGGGATTGTGGGGCTGGCGCAGGATTGGGCAGTGTTTCGTTCTGCTGTGCATGGGGTCACCATGAGTAGGAAATGACTCGATGGCACTTAACAACAACAACATACCTCATGCACAGTCACCTCATCATTGGAGGCTTGTGTGTTGAACAGGTTTCAGCAGAGCTTCCAGACTAAGATGGACTTAGAAGAAAGGCCTGACAATCTACTTCCAGAAATCAGCCAATGGAAACCTTATGGATCATAATAATTAGATCCACCACCAATCATGGGGATGACACAGCACCAGGCAGCATTTCATTCCCATTTTGTGTGGGGTAGCCAAGAGTCAGGGGCAGACTCACTGGCAGCTAACAACAACAACTACTTGGCAGTAAACTTGTGAGCACTTTCTTTTAGAGTGGAGCCAACTCCAGTGGTGCCACTTTGGGGCACTGGTAGGAACGAGGCATACAGGGCTGGATTGCAACAGCTGGTTCTTCTCCCATCCTGTCCTCCTGACACAATGGGTGGATTTCTGTTTTGCAGGACTCTACAAATATATGTACCCATCAGGCAGTTCTTTTATGACCTCATCCACCCAGACTACAGCGCCGTGACAGACGTATATGTGCTCATGTTCCTAGCAGACACTGTTGACTTCATCATCATTGTCTTTGGCTTCTGGGCCTTTGGGGTAGGTCGGGGCAAAAACACTATGCATCTGTGTACTAGGAGAGAAGTCTCTTGTGTGATAACACTCAGAACTGATATGTTGTCTCTTTCTAGAAACACTCAGCAGCAGCTGATATCACCTCTTCACTCTCAGAGGATCAGGTCCCAGGGCCATTCCTGGTGATGGTTCTAATTCAGTTTGGAACCATGGTGGTGGATCGGGCTCTCTACCTCAGGAAGACTGTGTTGGGAAAGGTCATTTTCCAGGTCATTCTTGTGTTTGGAATCCACTTCTGGATGTTCTTCATCTTACCTGGTGTGACTGAGAGGTAAGGATTTGGAGACCTGGGGCCACATTAATGTAAATAAATTCCGTAATGTTATCACCATTTGTGTATTTGCACAACAAAATCACAGATACAGGTAATGGCATGGTAGAGCAGCACTATGGGTAGGAAAGGTCAAAGATTTTAATGAGAATTAAATTCATTGTCAATCCAAAGTGTGAACTGGTTCTTCAAAATAATTTAGTTAGATCTTGATCTGTATTAATAGAAATAGACTTATTTGAATGAAGAGGTGACCACCTAAAAATCATTGATGTCCTAGGGTCCTATAGGCAGCATCTGCCTCTCTTCCTTCATGGCATGGAGATGAAGTGAAGCATTGTTATGAGAAAGCATGAAACTATGTCATGTGAGAAATGAGTTAGAAATGGAGGCTCTTTAACCAAGTGGTAGAAGAAAACACAGAGGAATGAAAGACATGGATAATAGTGTTTGCCTAGAGGGTAATCATGAGGATTAAATATAACAGTGTTTGATGATCACATTTCAAGGGGCTTGGCACATGGTGGAGTTAGGCCAAATAGTCACTATGGCTGTGCTGCTATTGGCATTACCAAAGGTCAAAATGGGAAGGAGGAGGGAAGGAGGGAGAAATGGATGGTTAAGAATAGAGCAACCTACAATAGCAAAAAGATGGAAACAACTTGCAGGTCCATCAACAGAAGAATGGATAACCAAACTGTGGTACATACACACAATGGAATACTGTACAACACTAAAGAATAATATAGAATCTGCAAAACACCACATAATATAGATGAACTTAACTTGGAGGATATTCTGCTGAGTGAAATAAGTCAATCACAGAAGAACAAATATAGTATTAGTCCATAATTGTAAAAAGTCATGGAAAGGTTTATATATGGAAGAAAACTTTCTTTGTTGGTTATCAGGGGTAGGAGGGGAGGGGAGGGAACATGGAAAAAAAAAAACATTGACTCATGTCACTTTAGTTTTGTGTATTTCACAATACATAAATTATATTTCAATTAATTGTATTTAAAAAAATAAAAGAATATAGCAACCTGAAGTCCAATAGGGCTGGAGTTAGTGGATCCTTGATGGTGGCTTCTGTTTCCCCTGTGTCACTTTGAAACCTCGGCCCCCATGGTTTAACTTTTTCTCAGCTCCTAGTGGCAGCATGTTCTCCCATACTTCAAAGTCTGTCCTGCTTTCTGGGTATGCAATGCTCCCACCTCCTCTTCTCTCCCACTCAACATCATCATGCTATTTCCTCCCCACACTCTAGATCTCTTTCTTTTATTCTTTGCTTTCAGCCAAGATCTATCTGACATCAGAAATGTCACAAGAGGATTCAAAAGAAGATGTTCACATCCTCTTCTGAATCCAGCTTGAATTTCTGGAAGTTCCTTGTCGATATACTGCTTCATCCTTTTTTGAATTATCTCCAATAGAATTTTACTTGCATAGTAATTATATTGTTTGAAAAGTTCCACATTCTGTTTGATCACTTTTCTTTAATACTAAAAAGATATTTACCTGTGTTTTATTGACTATGAAAAGCCATTCAACTCTATGGAACATAACCAATTACAAATAACAATGAGAAGAATGGGAATTCGAGAGCACTTAATTGTGCTCAGGAGGAACCTGTGCATAGATCAGGAGGCTATCATTCAAACAGAACAAGGGAATACTGCATGGTTTAAAATCAGAAAGGGTGTGCATCAGGGTTGCATCCTTTCACCATACTTATTCAATCTGTATGCTGAGCAAATAATCTGAGAAGCTGGGCTATATGAAGAAGAGTACAGCATCAGGATTGGAGGAAGACTCATTAACAACCTGTGATATGCAGATGACACTACCTAGCTTGCCGGAAGTGAAGATGACTTGCAGCACTTACTGAGGAAGATCAAAGACTACACTCTTCAGTGTGGATTACACTTCACAACAAAAACACACTGCCATCGAGTCAAACCCACTCGACTCATAGCGACCCTCCTTGGGTTTCCAAGGCAGTGTTGTTTGTTGTTCTTAGGTGCCATTGAGTCATTTCCAACTCATAGCAACCCCATGCACAGCAGAACGAAGCACTGCCCAATCCCGTGCCAGCTCCATGATCCTTGCTATACTTGAGCCCATTGTCGCAGCCACTGTGTCAGTCCATCTCGTCGAAGGCCTTCCCCTCTTTCTTTGACCCTCCGCCTTACCAAGCATGACATCCTTCTCCAGGGAATGGTCCTTTATGACAACATGACCAAGGTATGTGAGATGAAGTCTGGTCATTCTCGCCTCCAAGGAACATTCTGGCTGCACTTCCTCCAGGACAAACCTGTTAATTCTTTTAGCAGTCCACAGTACTTTCAGCATTCTTTGCTAACACCCCAACTCAAAAGCATCAATTCTACAATCTTCCTTATTCATTTTCCAGCTCTCACATGCATACGAGGCGATTGAAAATACCATGGCTTGTGTTAGGTGCACCTGAGTCCTCAAGGAGACATCTTTGCTCTTCAGCACTTGAAAGAGGTCTTTTGCAGCAAATTTGCCCAGTGATATACATTGTCTGATGTCCTGACTGCTGCTTCCATTGGCGTTGATTATAGAACCAAGTAATGTGAAGTCTTTGACAACTTCAATCTTTTCTCCATTTATCATGATGCTGCTTATAGGTCCAGTTGTGAGGATTTTT